GGAAGCTCAGTCCTCACCTCCTTCTACAGGTGTGCAGTGGAGAGCATCCTGTGCTCCAGCATCAACGTGTGGCATGGAGGCTGCACAGCTGCAGAAAGAAAAGCTTTGCAGAGAGTGGTGAAGGCTGCACAGAAGATGTAGGAGTCAGTCTCCCCACCATCACAGACATCTACACCTCCAGATACAGGAAGAAGACCACCTGCATCATGAAGGACCCCACTCACCCAGCACACACACGTTTTGTCCCACTCCCCTCAGGAAGGAGGTTGAGGAGCATTAAGTGTAGAACCACTAGACTGAGGAACAGCTTCTACCCTGCGGCTGTTAGACTCATGAATCTCTAACAAGTATAATCACTGTGAAAAAAAAATCACATCATGTTTCTGCTGATCTGTTTCATGTTGCTGCTGATCTGTTTCATGTTGCTGCTGATCTGTTTCAATGTTGATGTGTTCATGCGTGCTCATCTGCTCACACAGACTCATGTTCATGTTTGTGCTGATGTTCAATGTTTTTATGCTATTAGTGCTTGGTGTATATTTAGTTGATGTTTTTCTTAGTTCATATCTTAGATGTTATTACCGTTTTTCTTTTACATTTTATTGTTGGATGTAACTGGGACCCTGTGAACATACAAGTAAATTCGCTCCACCACATGTACCACACGAGGTGCGAATGACAATAAAGAAACTCTGACTCTGACTGACTGTAGGCATCACACACTTATTTATGTACTCCTCACCTAATTGCTGCCACACATGTTTGAGACCATCTGAACTAAACAAAGTAATCTAAAAAAGTTAAATCTGGTCCTCTGGACATTCAAAAAACAAAACAAAACAAAAAATGTAGAAACGTTTCGTCTTTCATCCGAAAGACTTCCTCAGTCTGAGGTTCTCTATTCCACTTTTATGATATTGCACCTTATACGATATTACGATAAGGTGCAGTCTTATAAATAGCACCTTCTCAAAGTGGATCAACCAGTTTGCTGCTGACAACCAAAACCAGCTGCTCACATGGTCAAGAAGGACCATCAGCCTAACAATGGATCATTAGCACCTGATGGCTGTTTACTGTTCACAGAGGGCTGAGTGATACTAGCAATCACAGCATTGTAAGAGGGGGACAGTTGAACCTGGAGGCTCCACCCCTGTTTAATGATGGACGGTTTCTTTTCACAAAGATGGCCTCCTTTACTCCTCTCTCAAACCATCGTTCCTCTCTATCCAGGATGTGAACATCTTCATCCCTGAAAGAGTGACCTCTGACCTGGAGATGAGTGTAGACTGCAGAGTCCTGGCCTGATGATGTTGATCTTCTGTGAAAACAAACAAAGTAATCTTGGTCTCATCAGACCATAGGACATGGTTCCAGTAATTCTTCAGCAAACTGTTTGCAGGCTTTCTTGTGTACAGACTTCAGAAGAGGCTTCCTTCTGGGATGATGGCCATGCAGACCAGTTTGATGTAGTGTTCGGCATATGGTATGAGCACTGACAGGCTGACCCCCCACCTCTTCAATCTATGCAGCAATGCTGACAACACTCCTGCACCTTTCTTTCAAAGACAGCATTTGTATGTGATGCTGAGAACGTGCACTCAGCTTCTTTGGACAACCAACGCAAGGTCTGTTCTGAGTGAACCCTGCTCTTTTAAAACGCTGGATGATCTTGGCCACTGTGCTGCAGCTCAGTTTCAGGGTGTTGGCAATCCTCTTGTAGCCTTGGCCATCTTCATGTAATGCAACAATTCGTCTTTTAAGATCCTCAGAGAGTTCTTTGCCATGAGGTGCCATGTTGGAACTTTCAGTGACCAGTATGAGAGAGTGCGAGAGCTGTACTACAAAATTGAACACACCTGCTCCCTATGCACACCTGAGACCTAGTAACACTAACGAGTCACATGCCATTTTGGAGGGAAAATGAAAAGCAGAGCTATATCCTGATGCATGCTCAATAATCCAGGTAGAAAAATCCGTGAAAAGCAGTGCTATAGTTCAGCACCTAAGCATTTGTAAATGAAATTCACATTTCCAACATGAAAATATTTTCGTTGACCTTTGATGACCTCTGGAAACATTTTTATTAATATATTTAAAATGATAGTGGCACAAACAAAAGTTTTTGCTGCACAGATGTTTGACACCAATTTCATTAGATTTGAAGAAGGTGTGTGTGTGTGTGTGTGTGTGTGTGTGGGGGGGGGGGGGGCAACTTCACTCAGGCGCTCTCAGGCCATCATTACCCGCAGCGTCCCCTCAGTGCAGACTGAACATATCAAAAAGGCCTTTTCCTGCTCTGTTCCTGCAACCTGGAAGAACTGAAGCCGCCCTCCTTAATTTCTTTAGGGGGGTTTAAACATTTGATAATGTCAATAGAAACATAAAAGCAAATATGTTCGTTTTTAGCATTTTACCTTGTTTATTATGGCACCTTGATTTTGTTTTATAACACTATTTTAATAGCATTTTATTGTAGTTAATATGCTGTCTGTCTAAAACAGGTCTCTCTTGTAAATGAATCCCTGTCGCTCAATGAGACTAACCTGTATAAATAAATGTTGAATAGAAAAAAAAAGAAAATACACACACACAAAACTATATACTTCTGAGCTACTTTAAAACAAGGTTTTTTTTAAAAGATTTTTATTTTAAGCATTTCTGTATTTGAGTCTTTCTTTTCTATAAAGTATCTCCACTTGAGATGTACAAAAATATTGTAAAAGGTGCTTGAATATATAAATATGTTTTTGTCTGCAGCCTTATGCGTTCATGTATAGTGTTTTAAATTTATTTAGTGAGGAGTTATGTGAAGCCTCCCTTGTCCGCCACTAGAGGGCTCCCCGGCTTCTTGTTTACAGACGAGTTGCTGCGCTCAGCTGTCCTATAAAAGTCAGAAAAGTTACAGCTTCAGCTTCATTGGATATAAAGTGATCCTCCTGATGTGCCGGCTATGCAAGCCATCTCAGACTAAGACATTCAGCTGCAGAGAGCAGCTACTGCAGGGATCAGGTTGTTCAGTTTGATAAGAGGGTAGCAGTGCAGGCTTTGGCGTGGTGTCAGCGGTTCTGGACACACTTCAGCTGCTCACAAACACCTTGACAGGAAACTGATGTTTGCCCCTTCACTCAAACAAACCCCAAAACTTTCTGCTTTAACTTCTCAACATCTAACTTTTATCAGTTTGTTGATAATATCACCTCCTTCAGTCGGCTCCAACTTCGTTTACACTCCTTCCCTTTTATTCTTTCTGTTAGCCCAGCTCTCCCAGCGTAATCCTTGGCAGTGGACATGGTCCCCCCACCACCACCACCACCACCCTAACCTCCCTTCAAGTCCCATTTCAACTGTGACATCATGTCTGGTTGCTGCTGGCAACCAGACAGCGGGGCTGTGACTGTGGAGTGCAGCGAGCTTCAACTCACTCAGTCTGTTCTTCTGTCCTCCACTTTTCTAAGTTTCTGATATTTCCTGTAAACACGCTCGTCTATTTTCTCCACTTGCTGCTCGCAGAGCTGAGTCCTCCTCAGCAGAGAGCTCCTCAAACCAGCTTTTCTCGGCTCTGACACGAGCGAGGAAGCGCTTGGCTCATTGGCTGGTGGGCTGTAAGGCGAGCTGGCAGGGTCTGCACCTCGCCGTATGCCAGAGAACAGCAGGACAGGCTCGGCTGTCGCTGACCCACTAGGCTCAGCTAACAGAGAGCTGGTGCTGCTAAAGTGCACGTTTTTGATTTAGCTCAGCAACAGCAGGACGTATGCAAGAAGCATTATGAGCAGGTGGAAGCTGCTGTAAAAGCCCCTTTGTTTGGAGGACAGGAGAACGTGGGGACACGAGTTTTGGATCACAGTTGAAGTGTATGTGCATGTATGCTGACACACATTTGGACCATAGTCCAATGTCCCCCCAGTGCCAGAGCTGCATCTGGGGGAGAGCGATGCAGGTGGAGAGCTCGAGGAGCAGCAGGAGATGGAAAGAGGGGAACGTGGGTTGCTGATGAACTGGAGCAGAGGAGGGGCGGGGGGAGCTTAGCAGAGCTGTGCCGATGAGGAATGCAGATTGTTTCCGTGTGTGTGTTTGGGGGGGGGGGGGGGGGGGAAGCTGGGCTGGCTGCAGGCTGGTGCGGTTAGCCCCTAATGATAAAAATTGTGCTCGTGATGGAGGAGGCCCAAGACGCTGCACTAATGCACACCATGGGGCCTCGTGGAGCTGAAACTGGACTGATTACATTCACTGTGATATGAGGACTGTAAACCAAAGGCCTGACACACTCTGCTTCAGGGCAGCTGAGGAAGTTTAAATCATTTTAAAATGGGCTCAAAGCTAATTTTTAGTATAAAGACAATCACCAATAAAGCTAAACAGCTTTCAGCAGCTGATAAAAATGCACAAGTTGGAAAAAACTCATACCAAAGCCCAAATTTCAGCTAACCAATGCAAGTTAAGGCCTCATCCAGCCAACGGTCTCTGATGGCTGGAGAGTCTGAGCCGTGATCGGAGCGCTGCCTCGGTATCGCAGCCTTCTCTTTGAACAACATGCTTCTTCATCCCGACCCACACGCCTGAAAAGCTGCAGCCACAAACAGCCGTGTGCCGAGTCGGACTTGCAGAGGGTGACGAGCAGAGCAGGGGAGGAAAAGACAGCAAACAGAAAAGGAGGGATGGAGGGAGAGGTGGACATGTTGATGTTACAGTGATGGAGGGAGGCTGGCAGGGTACCTGAGTCTGCTGGGGGACATTCAGAAAGTTGTCCTGTGTTCCGATGCCGACAAACCGGTTGGGAGCTGTGGAGCCTGGCGTGGAGTATGCTACAAACAGAGAGATACAAGTGTGTACATGCTTTTACACACACACACACACACACACACACACACACACACAGCCTATAGTAGAGTTTGCTGTCCTCACTATCCTTCTTTTTCCACTTTAATAAAAATAACGGTTCAGTAATGGATAAGACGATGAGTTTCTGTCAGATGGGTTTGTTGGGAAAGAAATGAGGAAAGTTGATTCGTTATTGGACACAGTGATTGATCTCCACTGGTGGAGGGTTGCTCTAGTTTTCTTTAAGATGACGCTTCATCTTTCATGTAAGAGATAGTTCAGACATTTACAGTGTGGTTTCTGTGTAAACGTTAGGAACACTTATCTTTCAGTCTGAGCAGGGCCAAGCCTAAACCCAAGCAGATCTTACTGCTGCTGTCTTAACTCGAGTCTTCTAAATTTCACATGGTTATCATAAAAGGCATTAATTAAACATCTTCAGTGCTGCCACTTCCTTATTGCACTTGTTTTGGCAGAAATATTGTGATGTTCCGGTGGGAAATGGCCCAGGTGGCACTGAAAATGTTAATGGTGGCTTTAGCAAAATAAGCACAGACTTCTGGTAATAAGTGCGAGGTAAGATGGATGGAAGAGTTAAAGTCTAGGAAACAACAAACCGCTTTAACATTTTTAAAATGAGAGTTTTAGGATGGCAGCGATCTGAGTTGGTCTGGGCCCTGCTCAGACTAGCCGTTAGATCATCAGTTAGGTCAAAATTCCCCAAACTGAGGTTCTTCAAAGATGCATCTAGAACTTACATAACCTTTACACAGAACACTCAGTCAGATTGGTCAGAATATCCCTTTAAAAGGAGCACAGTCTATAAATGTGAGCTAACATGGAGAAGGTTTTGCACTCTGACGAGGCTGCACTGTTGGTCACAGTCGCTCCTCAGCAGCCCCTGGCCTCCATATTTACCCTCTTATTTTGAAAACCACTGAGGATTCCCCATGGGGGTAGCCACGGTGGTGCGGGGGTGGAAGTTTGTTTATTACCAGCCATTTCACAGGTAGAGGCACTGCTCAGTGATGGAGCAGGATCAAATTTAGGGCAGTTGTGCTGACAGGACTCAGCTGAGCAGAACCTTAGCTGCTTGAAGTGGGTCAGTTGGGGGGGGGGGGGGGGAGGACATGACTGTGTCAGATGCATTTATCTGTGTGGAGGATGTCTTCAAAATCACAGACAACACTGGAGTAAAGCACAGCGGAAACATTTAGATGAAAAAGGAAGAAAAAATAAATTTCAGATTTATTTCTCTTGATATAAATAAACAGGAGTGACAGAGGAGAGGAAGGAAAGGTGAAAGGAAGGGAAGGAACACAAGCCCCAGTTGCTCATTCCGGTTGCCCCCATCTTGTGCCTCTCCCATGACCCGACTCTTGTGGCGCACCTGTCCAGGTGTAACGGACCGAAGCTCTGCCTCTATCAGATCATGCACCTCCTTCAGCGCTAATTAATTAGTTTCCTGTTCATGTTCAGAGACGTACGGTTTCTTTGTGCCGAGGTTTGTTGTTGTTCTCCATTTTTAATTGTTGGGAGGAATGTGTGGAAGTGGCAAGGGGATTGCGTGGGTAAAGTGGGGCATGAAGTCGTTTTTGGAGTCCACGCCAACTGCCCTAATTTTGTTCCCTTAAAGAGGAAAAAAGGAGAGAACTAAATAAAACAAAGAAAAGAGGATATAAACATATATCAAAGAAAGAAAAGAAGAAATGAAGAGAGAAATTGGGTGAGTTGTGTTGCAGCTGTCAGAGAGACATGCAAAGTTTACTTTGATCAAAGGAAACAGAGACATAAACACTTCCCAAAGAATGGAGAGATGTTCAGAAAGAGAAAAGATGGAGGAAGATGAGTGGCAAATGCATGGAGGGAAAACAGGAAGCTGAACTTCAAAGAATGACATGGTGCACCTTTGCAGACTTGAATGTGATGTGAACTCGGCAGTCATGTCTGAGAGCTCCTCGCTCGTTCACATAAAACCTTTCACAGCTGAACCGTTGCCGGCCTTCAGCTGTGGCTCTAAGAACACGATGGATCCAGCTGCCATTTTTATCTTTTCAGGTTTAAACATTACGTGTAAAAATTTCTCTTGCTCGTAGAAACTAAAATACTTAGTGCCAACCTCATGAGTAAGATGCTAAAAGATCTTTCTTTTTATATAATTCGTATAATTTTAGTTATTTGACATGCGGGCACGCAGAGTTATGATCAACATGTGAAGACTCAGATTCTAGAACAGGGGTCTGCAACCTGTGGCTCAGGAGCCACATGTGGTTTTTTGGTCCCTCTGCAGCGGCTCTTTCAATCTTTGACCAAAACTGACATCAAACTGAATTTTATTGGTTGTTATAACAACAACTAAAAGGGCTAGTTTTTCGCAGTTTTACCGTAATTTATTTTGCAAATATATGAATACTAGAAGGGCAGCACGGTGGCGCAACTGGTAGAGCTGCTGCCTCTCAGCGAGCAGGTCCCTGGTTCAAACCCCGGTCCAGGGGCCTTTCTGGGTGGAGTTTGCATGTTCTCTCCGTGCATGCGTGGGTTTTCTCCGGGTACTCCGGTTTCCTCCCACAGACCAAAAACATGCATGTTAGGCTGATTGGTAACTCTAAATTGTCCCTAGGTGTGAGAGAGTGAATGGTTGTTTGTCTCGTTTGTCTCTATGTGGCCCTGTGATGGACTTGCGACCCGTCCAGGGTGTACCCCGCCCCTCGCACAGTGATTGCTGGACATGGGCACCAGCGACCCCCGTGACCCAAAATGGAATAAACGGGTAAAAGATAATGGATGGATGGATGGATGAATACTAGAAACATTACAAGGAGTGAAACATACTCAGTTTCACTTTATGCTTTATTTCTTCAAAGTAGGACACATAATTTTTCTACAATAAAAAAAAATCACATAAGAATGCATAGTTTATGTTTGTTCGTGCTGATGTTCGACGTAATGTTTTTATGCTATTAGTGCTTAGTGTATTTTTAGTTGATGTTTTCCTTAGTTCATATCTTAGATCTTATTACTGTTTTTCTTTTACATTTTATTGTTGGATGTAACTGGGACCCTGTGTACATAATTACGTCCCACGTTATTGTCGTTCCCACTACATGTGGTACATGTGGTGGGAACGACAATAAAGAATCTCTGACTCTGACTTATTGTTTTAGTTTTTAGAAACTGGGCAAAAACTATATTGTTTGTTCCTTCTTTACAAGAATCTTGTCTTTTATTTTATCTAAGAGTATAAAAATATCAATAGATGTTAAAAATAATTAGATGTTTTTAGTTTTATAAAATCACCCCTACCATCCAGAAAAGTGCCCCTACAACAAACCTATGCCACTTTTGCACCGCCCCAACTCTGCTCAGATCAGCCTGATTTGCACCGCACTTCAGGACCGGTTCTGGAGGTGTGTCCAGAATCCAAAATCCTGCTAATGAACTTTTAATTTGTAGGATTTATTTATTTTTTTCCCTCCCAGGCTCTCATCGAGGTGGCAGCTTCTGTTTCTCCTCCCCGTTTTCCTTCTTCCTGCTCTGCTCTCTGTCTGTCTGAAGCGCCTGGGTCTCATCTCCCGAACATAAATTAAGAAGATTATGGATTTGGTATCATGGGCGTTCAACTCTATTGATAAGATTTTTTCATCAAAGCGAAAAGGTCCTGGAGAACCGGCGTGTCCAGCTGAGACTCACGCTGTGGGGTACGTCATAGATTCGTAGGGAGTGTGGCAGCTGATGTGCCTCTCAGTTCTGTCTCAGGAGGATGTTGAAGACGTTTATATATTTGGATTTATGATAGCAGGGACTCTGCTTTTTGGCATCGGCAGGGCTCTGTTTCATCGACTTTTGAAGAAGACAGCGGGAGCAGTTTCGGCCATGGGAAAGCTTCCGAGTCAGTGTGAAGGTCTGGTCCTCGCTGTGGGAACTTTGAATTGTCTGGTTTACGAGCTTAACCGTAAGGTGGAGGCGATTGAGAATCGCAGGCCACCTGCGGCTTCTGGGACTCGTCAGCGTGGTGGGTTCGACCTTGAAGGAGACTCATAGCATGGATCAGTGGAATGGAATCCCACAATTAGGCATTTTGGAACCAGAACGCCCAGATGGACTCAAGGCTGGGAAAAAGTAATCTGTCTGCCTGAAGAAAAACAAGAATCAAGTTGATCTAAATCTGACTCCCGACGGCCTCGGAGACAGGCCGACTATCAAATTTCTCCTGGGACATGAGTACCCAAGGACAAAAGCTTCATCTATCGCAACCCAATCTGATAAGGATAAAATGGCCGCGCTTTCTACAGTTGCAGCTTCATGCACTCCGCCCATCTTTTGGATGACTGTACGTACATATTCGTGTTGTACCTCGGTGCAATTCCAATAAAGTTTATTCTGATTCTGATTTAATGTACTTTAGTTCACTGAGTGAGAGTTCTGCGATGAGTTCAACTCAAAGCAGTCTGCTCCTTAGATAAATAATGCCAAATTACTATTTTTATATATGAATGATTCTGTTCAGTGCCCTAAGACAACTGCTGTTGTGACTTGGAGCTGTAGAAATAAACTGAATGAAATCTGATGAACCAGATCCTACAAAAACATTTATATTTAAAATTCCATATTTTTATTTGTCATTTGATATATTTACACTAATTTTGATATATGGTTTTGTTTCTTGTATACAGATTATTTTATTTTAGTGATTTAATGTGTAATGCTTGTTTTTTGATTTGTACATGTGTGGGTTAGAATAAAGTTGAACTAAAGGCTGTTTCTCTTCTTTAAACATGTTTGAGGGAAATATTCCTGAGATCCAATAATTTTGTCTTTTTATGATTTTTCAGCTGAGTTAACTTTAATTAACAGATTATTTAATAAAGTCAAAGTGAAAAGTGGATTTCATGATAAAGCCAGCAGCATCATTTTCCTTTTTGATAAATTCTATAGTTAGGGTAGGCTTAGGTTTCCTGAGCTGTCCCTTAGTCCTGCTGCTATAGGCTTAGACTGCTGGAGGACAAACTGACCACACTTTTCACTCTGCTACTGTCTTTACTTACTCTGCTCAACCTGTTTTGTATTTGTAATTATTTTTTCTATTATTAATATGTGTTGTTTTTTTTTTTTTTTTGGCCTTCAGGTTCACCTGGGTAGCAGCACGGTGGTGCAACTGGTAGAGCTGCTGCCTCTCAGCGAACAGGTCCCTAGTTCAAATCCCGGTCCGGGGGTCTTTCTGGGTGGAGTTTGCATGTTCTCTCCGTGCTGCGTGGGTTTTTACCGGTTACATAAGTTTCCTCCCGCAGACCAAAAACATGCATGTTAGGCTAATTGATAACTCTAAATTGTCCCTAGGTGTGAGTGAGAGAGTGAATGGTTGTTTGTCTCGTTTGTCTCTATGTGGCCCTGTGATGGACTGGAGATCTGTCAAGGGTGTACCCCGCCCCTCGCACAGTGATTGCTGGACATGGGCACCGGCGATCCCCATGACCCAAAATGGAAGAAACGGGTAAAAGATAATGGATGGATGGAGGTACACCTGGACCTATATCTGGACCTGGACCTATATCTGGACCTACCATTCTATGTTCGTCTGTCTCTCCTTCCTGTCCTCTCAACCAGCCGGTCAAAGCAGATGGCCGCTTGTCCTGAGCCTGGTTCTGCTGGAGGTTTCTTCCTGTTAAAGGGAGTTTTTCTTTCCACTGTTGCCACTGTGCTTGCTCAGGATGGGAGACTGCAACGAAGCCAAGATTCAACTTGTCTGCTGGATTCCTTAGATAGAGAACTTTACTAATTGGCTTTTATGTGAATGTTCCTGTAAAGTCCCTGAGACAACTTTGTTGTGATTTGGAGCTATAGAAATAAACTGAATTGAATTGTTTATCTATATTTATTCTTCACTGAAAAAAAACAAAACATAAAATGTTTAAATAAAAACTTTCCACCCTCCGTCCCGGTCCTCTCGCCTGCAAGGGCTTGGAATCCGGCCTTTATGACCATGCGAACCCGGGGCTCGGGGTCTAGCCTCGCATGCTTAAACGGGTCGGCAGCTCATATGATCCTCTGCGGTGACTCCACTTGTTCGAATTTTGTCGTCGTCACCAAACACAAAAAACGCCTGGACTTCAGCATTCAACACGGCATTGTCATTATTGTTTCTAAAATCTTAAAAATAAATCCAGCCTCTGCTTCGTGTTCAGAGAATTTGCAAATGGAGGATCAGTGAAAAGTTTCTGAGATGTAGTGACTCCTCCCCCTGACCAATCAGTGTCCCGTATTCACGTCTTGGTCCTGACTCAGCTTGCAAGGTCCCACTAGAGAAGCAGGAACCAAACAAGGTCCTGAATCAGCCTCAAATCAGCTAAAAAGTACTGTGGAATAGCGATTTTTCCATGGAGGGCTGAGTCGAGTCCGGGACTGAGTAGGAGCAGTGCAAATGGGGCATTAAAGTGGTCCGTGGGCCAACAGTTGAGAATCCCAGTTGTAGAAGGTATTGTGGCTTTGCACACGTTTAATTTAGTGAGCAAAGGGGCAGAAATGGCTCCTTAGGTCGTAAAGGTTGCAGACCCCTGCTCTAGAAGGACTCTGGTGTTATATCTGATCTTAACCGGGTCTCACACTGCATGCCACGATCACGTGCATGTATTTATTTAATGCATATAACAATGTGGAAAAAATAAAAATAGAATAGAACCGTACATGACTGACTGAACGCTGCCTTTTTAATCGATTAATGATCGTCTGGAAAGAGCCACAGAGGAAAAGAGGCTTGGCAGAGGAATGGTTTCTGCCACGACAGGACCTCTTGTTGCTGGTAGTGTTCAGTCAATGGGGGGGCAGGAGTAGAGCTCCTGGGGCTGCTGAGTTGTTTGAGCAGACTACAACCTTATTGACAACAGTCAGCTAAACCATGAAGTTCAGAACTTTCAGACAGATAAAACTGGAAGTCCACCAGCCATGTTCACCTAATAATCAGGGTTCAGATAAAGAATCAGCTGCCGATCAGATCACATCAGAACTTTATTGATAGTATCTCAAGCTGGTCTCTGTACAGGTTTTGGGGAGACTGGGCATGTGGGTTTGTAGGGGGATGACTTACACGGAAATGTGGGTGAGCTGAGTCCGCCGTCAGTGGGCGTGCTGATGGTTTTAGAGTCGGGCATAGGGAGGGGCACAGGGCGTGCCACTGGGGGTGGCGGGGGCAGCAGGAAGGAGCCCGGCATTTTGCTCTGGCCACCTCCATTAGGCTGCAGACGGACCATACAGATTGGGTGAGAAAGACACACCCGACAATACAAAGTAAAAAGGGAGCCACGCACACACAGACAAATCTGAGAAAGTAGAACGTACGTTCATGCTGACACACTCCTCTTAAAGAAATAAAACAACACATTACTTTAAAGTAGTGAGAAAGAAAATTAAACAAGAAGAAACGTACAAATCTCATCACACAAAGGGAAAAGAAACATGTTGTCCATGTACAGGTCCTTCTCAAAAAATTAGCATATTGTGATAAAGGTCATTATTTTCCATAATGTAATGATAAAAATTAAACTTTCATATATTTCAGATTCATTGCACACCAACTGAAATATTTCAGGTCTTTAATTGTTTTAATACTGATGATTATGGCATACAGCTCATGAAAACCCAAAATGCCTGTCCCAAAAAATTAGCATATTTCATCCCACCAATGAAAGACAAGTGTTTTTAATATAAAAAACACCAACCTTCAAATAATCATGTTCAGTTATGCACTCAATACTTGGTCGGGAATCCTTTTGCATGAATGACTGCTTCAATGCGGCGTGGCATGGAGACAATCAGCCTGTGGCACTGCTGAGGTGTTATGGAGGCCCAGGATTGCTTCGATAGCGGCCTTAAGCTCATCCAGAGTGTTGGGTCTTGCGTCTCTCAACTTTCTCTTCACAATATCCCACAGGTTCTCTATGGGGTTCAGGTCAGGAGAGTTGGCAGGCCAATTGAGCACAGTAATACCATGGTCAGTAAACCATTTACCAGTGGTTTTGGCACTGTGAGCAGGTGCCAGGTCGTGCTGAAAAATGAAATCTTCATCTCCATAAAGCTTTTCAGCAGATGGAAGCATGAAGTGCTCCAAAATCTCCTGATAGCTAGCTGCATTGACCCTGCCCTTGATAAAACACAGTGCACCAACACCAGCAGCTGACATGGCACCCCAGACCATCACTGACTGTGGGTGCTTCACACTGGACTTCTGGCATTTTGGCATTTCCTTCTCCCCAGTCTTCCTCCAGACTCTGGCTCCTTGATTTCTGAATGACATGCAAAATTTGTTTTCATCCAAAAAAAGTACTTTGGACCACTGAGCAACAGTCCAGTGCTGCTTCTCTGTAGCCCAGGTCAGGCGCTTCTGCCGCTGTTTCTGGTTCAAAAGTGGCTTGACCTGGGGAATGCGGCACCTGTAGCCCATTTCCTGCACAGGCCTGTGCATGGTGGCTCTGGATGTTTCTACTCCAGACTCAGTCCACTGCTTCCGCAGGTCCCCCAAATCTGGAATCGGCCCTTCTCCACAATCCTCCTCAGGGTCCGGTCACCTCTTCTCGTTGTGCAGCGTTTTCTGCCACACTTTTCCCTTCCCACAGACTTCCCACTGAGGTGCCTTGATACAGCACTCTGGGAACAGCCTATTGTTCAGCAATTTCTTTCTGTGTCTTACCCTCTTGCTTGAGGGTGTCAATGATGGCCTTCTGGACAGCAGTCAGGCCGGCAGTCTTACCCATGATTGTGGTTTTGAGTAATGAAGAAGGCTGGGAGTTTTTAAAAGCCTCAGGAATCTTTTGCAGGTGTTTAGAGTTACGTCGTTGATTCAGATGGTTAGGTTAATAGCTTGTTTAGAGAACCTTTTCATGATATGCAATTTTTTTGGGACAGGCATTTTGGGTTTTCATGAGCTGTATGCCATAATCATCAGTATTAAAACAATTAAATACCTGAAATATTTCAGTTGGTGTGCAATGAATCTGAAATATATGAAAGTTTCATTTTTATCATTACATTATGGAAAATAATGCCCTTTATCACAATATGCTCATTTTTTGAGAAGGACCTGTAGATGAGAAGTTTCAAAGAAATTATTGTGAAATGTAAGAAATTCAAACATTGCAAGTGCGTGAATGTGTTTGTAATTTAAAACAATAAAGCTCAGTTTAACGTGTTAAGCAGTGAAAAGAAAGGATAATCACAGATGATGAAGGGGCTGGGTGAGTTGCTCAAAGGTTTACAGCTCTGCTCCTCAGTGAACGTGGATCAGTCATAGCCACTTCAGTCAGCTGGATAATGCTTAACTGTCTTTCAGCAAAGATACGTGCGCGATGCGCATGTAGCTGATGCTGCCAGCTGATTTAGTCTAAATTGGGCCTTCTCAGCCAGACTCTCACACCACTGCCACAAGCTTTCAGCTCCAAACCAACACAACCTGAACGTGGCTGGTTCACTAAATGCTCCTCAGTTTCACATTTTGTTGCAGCGGGAAGCTCTTGGGTAGACAGCAACGTATTACTCTGTCCCATTTACTCAACCAATCTCACGTCATGCCTCGAGCAACAAACTACAGATTCTGAAGGTGCCTCATGACAAAACGTTGTCGAAAGTCCAATGGCAGGTGGGATCATTCCTGGAGTGCACATGAAGCTATGAACATCTTCTTTGGGTTTATTCCACGGATTTTAAATTCTACAAACAGCACAAATCGTTATGTGCCTGCAACCCGTCAGCTGGCTCGCCCCCGTTAGCAGTGTTGTCTCTGCAGGGCTGGCTAGATGCCAGCTGACAGGCCACATGAACCAGGTTCTACCTTTATTGTCATGAGTGAAAAGCTCGATCCTTCCTGGCTCAGCTGTAAAACCCAACGTTGAGGAGTTTGATGAATCAAAGGTGCTTTGGCTCCCTCTCTTAATCTTTTCTCCAGCTGAATTAAAGCCTAGCTGCCTGCCTCCTCATGTGGATGCATATGCCCTAAAACCTTCCGTGATGATCTGGTTTCATTGAATAAAAATGGCTCTTTGCTCAGGGTTGGGCTCACCTGACGCTGCTGTTCCTGCACAAGTAACGATATGAGACATGAAATGATCAAGTGAGTCTTTTCAGATTCTGCAGCGTTTTATCTTTTTGTTTTCCATTACAAAACATCTTTTCACAAAAAAATGTGATTTCTAATCAACATCAATCTTCTTTAGAGTCACTTCTGACCACAAACTACACTTCTGCATGACACAGCATCCCACGGACTCCCCTCTTTCTGTGTAGGACCCACAAATCACTTACCTGTGCACTGGGCTGCCCTGTGCCGTCGGTGCACACAAACTGCACAAAGTCCTTGAGCGGGTCCTGGTGATGGTAGCGTATGGTGGGGTGGGTGAAGTACGGGCTGGACTGCTGAATGATGGAGGAGGAAGGAAAGTGCAGAGCTGAGGCTGGGGCACGAGGACTCCCTGAGAAACAGATGAGACACAACAAGGTAAAGGAAGGAGGAGGCCAAAGTAAACACACATACATGCACAAAGGAGGTGTAACACCTGGAGAGCTGGTGCAAAGAAAATAACCTTCACACCAATGTGAAGAAGACAAAGGAGATGATTGTGGACTTCAGAAGGAACAAACACACCTACACAACACCCTGAACATAAGAGGATCTGCAGTGGAAGTGGTCTCCAGCTACAAGTACTTGGGTGTGCACCTGAACAACAACCTCAGCTGGAGCAACAACACCACCAGCCTGATCAAGAAAGCTCATCAGAGACTCTACTTCCTCAGGCGGCTGAGAAGCCATCTGGGAAGCTCAGTCCTCACCTCCTTCTACAGGTGTGCAGTGGAGAGCATCCTGTGCTCCAGCATCAACGTGTGGCATGGAGGCTGCACAGCTGCAGAAAGAAAAGCTTTGCAGAGAGTGGTGAAGGCTGCACAGAAGATGTTGGAGTCAGCCTCCCCACCATCACAGACATCTACACCTCCAGATGCAGGAAGAGGACCACCTGCATCATGAAGGACCACACTCACCCAGCACACACACTTTTTGCCCCACTCCCCTCAGGAAGGAGGTTGAGGAGCATTAAGTGTAGAACCACTAGACTGAGGAACAGCTTCTACCCAGAGGCTGTTATGAATCTCTAACCAGAATAATCACTGTGAAAAATCACATCATGTTGCTGCTGATATGTTTCATGTTGCTGCTTTGCTGCTGATCTGTTTCATGTTGCTACTGATCTGTTTCATGTTGATGTGTTCATGCATGCTCATCTGCTCACACAGCTCATGTTTGTGCTGCTGTTTCTTTGTAATGTTTTTATGCTATTAGTGCTTAGTGTATTTTTAGTTGATGTTTTTCTTAGTTCATATCTTAGATCTTATTACGGCTTTTCTTTTACATTTTATTGTTGGATGTAACTGGGACACTGTGTACATAATTTCGCTCCGCCACATGTACCACATGTGGTGTGAATGACAATAAAGAATCTCCAACTCTCTGACTATTAGTATTAATACAGTAACATTACAGTAACGGGGGAGTTGTGGCACAGAGGTTAGAAGGTGGGCCTGTGATTGGAAAGTCGCAGTTCACCTCCCGGTACTGTCAACATCAAAATATGGGTGGAAAAGGTGAAACATCCACACCTGCCTCCACCCTCATTGGCCCCACTCTGGGCCCATGAGAAAGGCCCTTAACCCCCACCATCTGCTCCCTAAACATGTCTCTCTTGAAAATGAGTTCTCGTGGCTCAATGAGACAACCTGTATAAATAAAGGGTAAATGGAAAAAAAAAGAAAGAAAGAAAAACATGCACACTGTCACAGGATAAGACATTCAGAATGTTTTAAACAGCTGGCAGGTGAAGACCAAGCTGCCATTAAGGATATTTTTGTGCTACAAAGAAAATGACCGAGCCATTCTCTTTGGGTTGACTGTTTGTAAATTATCCCTGGCTGTCAGACAACATCTGCTGCTGGACAACATCTGCTGCCAGACTACATCTGCTGCAGGACAACATCTGTTGCCGGACAACATCTGCCGCCAGAAAACATCTGCAGCTGGACAAAATCTGCTGCCGAACAACATCAGAATCAGAATAAGCTTTATTATCATTGCACCGAGATACAAAAAGAACATGTACGTACAGTCGTCCAAAAGATGGACGTAGTGCACAAAGCTGCTGCTAAAAGCATGGCCTTCTTAGTCTTATTCAGAATAATACTTTTAGATAAGAAAAAGGGAAGAGCCATGAGGATAGATAGTGGTATTACAAAAAAATATATTTTTACATCTTGTCTATCAGGACACGGTTGGACATAAAAAAAAATTCTACCTTCAACATGATTACATATGCATATGAAATCAGGTCTCTCTTGTAAATGAGTCCTCGAGGCTCAATGGGATTTACCTGTCTAAATAAAGGTTGATTGATATGCATTTGATGTCAAGGTGTTAAAATTTGTCCATGAGTGTTTTTCAGATTGGCCACAGTTCTGATGATGTTGTTTTCTTTTTTTTTTTTTTCCCTTGTCCTGTCCGGCATTGTGACACTTAGAATTATTGTCTGAGTGTCAAAGTGATTCCCAACAGATTTACTTTCACAAGCAGAGCATCACGGCTGGCCTTAATGCTCCACTTGATATATAAATTAAATTTTATTAGAATTTGCTTTGGGTTTGTTCCAGATGTAATGGACATGGGGACGGAAAACAAAGAAGATAAAGCAGAAAAGTGAGAGAAGAGTTAAAATGTAAAGAAGGAGATATGAATAGAGGAAAGAGAGAGGGATAAAGAGAACACAAATCAACATCATTGAAGTCTGACTCTAGATCTGTGGAAAGAGAAAACAAAAACAAAAAAAAAAAAGACAAAACCAAGAAACCACAACAACAAACAACTTATATAATGATAGTTATAACATCATTAGAAAGTATTTTATACATTACATGGTAATATAATATATATTTGATGGCCACCACAACCCAACTGAGTGTGTATCTGATAAACACCTGAATCTAAACACCTGTGTGAGCATGCTTATCACTATAAGGTTTCTCATAAAAATGTTCAATAGTGGATGTGGGGACCCATAAACCTGTCCCCACAGGACACGAAGGTAACACAGGGAAGCCCGGAACGACAGACACACAGCGGCCCCATGCCCGGAACTACGGTAGTCCCCCAACAGGGACACCCGTACCCCCCAGTGAGAGAAGCAAAGGGAAGCCCCGGGTGATCCCCAGCAACCACAATGCAGAAACCCCTAGGAGGCCGTAGCAACGAGTCAACAGGCCCCGCCGACAACCCGCCCCTCCAGAGTGGATCCGGCCATGGACACCAAGCCCCGAGTCCCGAGGTCATACCACCCCCCAAACAGAGGCCCGACAGAGCCAGGGCACCCAGACCCCTGCAGGCAGCCACCAGGGCGGGCCTGCACACACCCCACCACCCAGCCCCAGCTGCTGAGAGCCGCCAATGCACCGGCGGCAGGGGGGCCCACCACCGGGGGGGAGCAAGACCCACCAAATGGGGGGATGATGTTGTTTTCAGCCAGCAGTTCTGATAAGCTTGCAATGGGGTTGGGGGGGGGGGGGGGGGTTGCGAAAGATCCATCCATCCATTTTCTTCCGCTTATCCGAGGTCGGGTCGCGGGGGTAGGAGGTAAGTAGGGAGGCCCGGACTTCCATTTCCCCAGCCACTTAGGCCAGCTCCTCTGGGGGAATCCTGAATATATGTATGTATGTGAGTATGTGTGTATTTGTGTGTGTATGTATGTATTTGTGCATGTATGTATGTATGTATGTGCGTATGTATGCATGTATGTATGTATGTGTTTATGTGTATTCGTGTATGTATGTATGTGTTTATATGTGTATTTGTGTATGTATGTATGTATGTATGTATGT